ACGATCAAGAGTGAGATGTGCCAAGGCTCATTGCTGCCATTTGTCGGTGCTCTCACCCCAGCTATGTTTAATGCAGATAACCAAACTTAATCTTATGGATCATGTTTCTGGATGGCTTGTATAAATGACCAAGGTGTGGATGTATACTGTATACAGGAGACAGGAGACAGGAGACACTCTTTTCAATTCGCGACCGAGAATACATTCAGTCTGAGAGGCTTGTTCTATATTCAGCATGTTTTGATGGGTGCTCGAGAGGTTTTTTTTTTTTGGCTACCGAGCAAGTCTTTGAATGCAGCGTATTCTCTTGTCTGCGCAGATTCGGCAGACAGGCTTTGTATGCTGGATGTTACCATAAAAGATGAGTCTCTTCGTCTAATTGGCCATGCGAAGCGACCTGATTTATTTCGGCGAATCGGGACGTTTTTGAAGACGTCCTGTCAGGTAGTTTTAACCTCCTGTAGGGATAAGATCGGATACTAACAATACGGATGTGAAACTATTTTGCGACTATATCGATAAGATCGATCCTGTCGATAAGTATCGTAATGAACACCCCCGGTAGGTAGTGTGGACTTTGACTAATAGGGGCAATTCGGCTTCGGTGATGCGTTCTAACTACAACGATCGAGTTCTAGTTAAGAGAACAAGTTTCCATTCTATAGTTTACTCGGATCATAGGCTTTTCCAGTTCGGGTAATAAGTCTAAGTTTAGGATGGCTGGCTACTGGAAATTGAACGTATCATTATTTGGTAAGCGAAATTTCCAAGACCAGCTGATCCTAATACTAAAACGGGAATTGATGGGGGATGTGGTTGGGAATAAGTGGTGGGATTTATTGATATCTAAAGTTAGGTCGTTTACTGTTGATTATACTCGTCGACTCGACCTAATTAATGTGAAGCAAAAGTTTATCGGGCGATTAAATCCCGTGATAGTGGAGAAGTAGCCTTAGCTAGAGCGGAACTGTTCCGCTTGCTTATCAAGAAGGATCAAGCTCTTGTAGTTAGGGCTAGATTAAAAAGTATGTCTCCTGAGGTAACAAATATGGCCGCTGAATTGTGTGTAGAGGAAGTTAGAAATGCATTTAATAGTCATATCGCGTACGTTAGATTGCTAGATAAGCACACTGTGACGACAAACGCGGGCACATGTTAGGGTTTTCTTGACTACTTTCAAGAATTGTTCACCTGCGAGCTTGGTCTGAGCCATACCCAGCTCGAAGCCTGTTTGGTTGACTTCCTCCGCCTCGAGGTGGCAGAAGCGGCCGGTTGCGAGGGTCGAGTTTCAGAGTCTGAGATCTGGGAAGAACTAAAGCTGGTTGGCCGGATCAAAACTCCGAAATTAGATGGTCTTCCTTGCGAACTGAGGCAGTTGCCCGTTCTTTTTCCCTTGCTGGAAATGATTTCCAAACACTGGACGAAGCAGGGGTCTGTACCTCAACGCTTCACCAGGGGTGTGATCAAGTTACTACACAAAATCAAGTACGGTGGGGATGGTATAGATAACTTTCGGCCTTTGACGATGTTAAGTAGAATTGAAAATTTTAGCTGAGATTTTAGACAGCCGTTTGCAGGCTGTCCTCTCTATCCTGATTGACTCTGAGCAGACGTGCCCTGTGAAGGGTAGGACTCTTCAGGACAAAATTCATTTATTACGCTTGATCATAGAGAAAGTCGACAGCGAAGCCGCGCTGATCAATTTAGATTAGTCTAAGGCATTCGATAGGGTTGATCATCGTTTTCTGGAGGCTGACCTTTTGGATTCCGGTTTCGGGTCGGACTTTCACGCCTGAATCCAACTTGTGCACGCGACCTCCGGTGTGCTGCTGGAAATGAATGTAGTACAATTGGAGCCTTTCCTGTTTTCTCGCGCCATTCGTCAAAGTTGCCCGCTTTCGCCTTTACGCTCTTGCCTTTGGAGACTTTCCTTGTCAAGTTAAAGGCGAATCCGGTCCTACGTGGAAAATCTCCTTACCTGATGCTACCACCTCGGACAGACACCCCGCCTATGCAGATGAAGTTTCTGTTCTTGTGTCGGAAAAGATAGACGGTGCGTTACGGTAACAGGGGCCAATATCAGCCGCGATAAATCTGTTGGCTTGCGGTTGGACGGGCATTTCCTTTGGATGAACGGGCTGGTCAAGATTTTCAGCGTCTGGTTCGGTCCCGATCTCTTGCTGGAAATGAATTGGTCGGATGTGCGGGAGAAGGTAAAGGGTGCAGTTCGTCTATCGTCCCAGAGGAATCTTTCTTTAACGAGAAGGCGGAAGTATGTTTTTCACACATATACTGCTGTGGTAAAACCCTCATACAGTAGAATGAACTCTTCCTCCTCTCATAAATATTAACAGCGAGACACCCTAGGGGAGAGTCGTAGAGTAGCGGAGACGTAGTGTTAACCTACCGTTCGGACGTCTACCTCTATCTGCTTATTATTAACACTCTTGTTTTGTATATATCTGTTATTTCAATCCACTTGTTCAACCTACCTTCGTCTTCCGTGTCTTTCTTTCTGGACTCTAAACAGGCCACAACATATAACTAATTCTCTTTTACTGACTCTCCGTGCTTCCACTCCCGTATGCCATACTAATGCAATTAGTTAGGATTTTGTTTTCCTTCTTTTGGGTAGGTTAGGCTCCCAAGATATTGTCCCCATACTTCTGAACGTTGTCTGGGTATCCGTAGCGTTGAAATTCGTCAATATACGCTTCGCATCGCGTTCTTAGATCGAATGTGTTCGTAAGCGTTTGGGAATGGCAAATTTTGGAAGGAAGACGCCAGCAAGAATTTCCCGTCTTTGAGAAGTGTGCACTTGTGCGAGGAAAAGGTCCACTGTTTACCCTGAGGCGAGTGCTCCTTCTATCGTGAATGCTGGTTAGCTCTCAAGTTCCTCTTACGGGCGACGGATAGTCTCTCTGATGTCCAGGTGTTGTCCTGTAAGGCATTGTATAAAGTGTTAGTCCGTTCAAGATGGTCTGATTGGAGAGCTCAGTTTAACAAAGCAGGAGGCTCACTCCATATGGCCTTGGGCATCTGAAATACCTCACTAGCACATAGGTCATCACAAACCTGGTCGGTGATTGAAAACGACCCTCTGGGTCGGCAAAAATCTTTCTTCAGCCAACTGCATCTGCTGCGGTGAGTCGGTGGAGACCCTGGGTCACGCCCTATTCCACTGCAAGGTCGGAGTCCCATTGTGCAAGTTTAATGAAGATATCATGGTTTGGATCCTTTGCGGAAAGTTCTTTGTCCTTGGGGTCAGTTATTTTTGTAGCAATCTGGTAGCGCCGTTGACTAAGACCGAAAGCATGGGGCACCCAGTGAAGATCGAACCCACTACTCAGTCGTAATTGGTCTAGCAAGACAAGCTTTCTAATCATTACACCATGTCGAGGTGCCCCTGAATAAATGTGTAGTTGTGTGTGTCGTTGGTCGAATGATTGGTTTTAATTCATCCAAGTCCAGCATTAATTTCGTCCAGTTAACTGATATTTCTGCCACAATTAAGAATTGTGGGTTTTCTTAAATGGTCTTTGCTGGTCATACCTTGTCCAAGCTGGTCAGAACTGGTCTAAGCTAGGCTTAGCTGGTCATAGCTTGTCCAAGCTGGTCAGTGCTGGTCAGAGCTAGACATAGCTGGTCTTGGCTTGTCATAGCTGGTCCAGGCCAGAGCCGGTCCAAGCTAGTCGTAGCCGAGATACTACCAGCGCAGGGACGTATCTAACACCATTTTGTTTAGTTTCTTGTACATATAGTATTATGCATATTGTAAATATTCATTAGGATTCTAATTTTTAAATGTTGTTATCCTATCCACTCCCACACAAATTGTACATATTGGGGATTAGTTAAGATTTAACAGAGATTTTGAGGTATTATTGTGGTTGTAGTAAGAATGATAAGTAAGAATTTGGTATTTTGGTGCAAAGAATAGTGTATAGATTGTTTGGATCAGTGACTGTGACTAGCTAAATTTAAGCTAAGAAAGATGATGACCAGCCCTCCCTATCCTCACTTTTGGCCTTGTGCCACGTTTTTGTTTTTGTATTTTTACAAAAATAAATATTAGTTCATTGGAGTCAATAGAAGAGAATTCCTAGTGACGTCACGGCGAGTAGCCTAAGCGAGACATAATAGATGCTAGGAGCAACTTATAACATGTGGACACACTCTTGACGAGTCAAGGGCCAACTAACTGTAGATGGCAACTCAAAAGATTCACTGTGGAGGAGGCAACGGGAAACCACTCCACAATAGGACAATGATTTTAAAGTGCATGAAAAGACGATAAACATTTCAAGATTTAACAAAAAGAGAAGAATCTAACAACACAGACGAAGACGAAAATGAAATATTAGATTAAATGAGAAAAAAGAGATTAAAAACTTTTAGATTATCGGGCAAAAAAAAAAAAAAAAAAAACTCTCGACACTTTCTGAGTTTTGTTTTTGTTATCGTTTTCTTTCATTTTATTAATGATAATGAAAAGAAAGAACAAAAAGGAAAGAAATGAAAGATATTAAAATATTCATGAATATATTCAAAGACGAAGTTATAGCAATGACCACAAACACCATCACAGTAATTACGATGACGACTGCTAATAATAACAACAGTAATAATAATAATAATCTTCCCGAGCCAATCAATATGGAAGAAAACGGGTGTTACAAGGGTGTGTGGAATTGAAATAGCAATTCCCCCTGGTCTGTACTAAATTATTCTTTCTGTCCGACGGAATTCCTTACACGCCAGTCCCAGGTCCGCGACGGGCAAGGCGGGTTTATTGTAGCTGTCCACAACTTCCTTCATTGCTTGTGTACTCCCCAAGGTGGCTCTAAATATTCTGCCATTTTTTTCTCTTTTTACCATTTTCTAATTTATTTTCTTTTTTTTTTCTTCTTTTTCTTCTTTTGGCTTTTCTGTTTATTATTGTTTTTAATGATTTTTCCTTGAAATCACTTTTTTCTTTTTTTTACTTTTATTAACATTAGAGTACAGATTTTTCTGTCTTTCTTTATCTCTTGTTTGTTTTTATCTTCTTACTCCTGTTTGTCCTTTCTTTCTTTCTTTTCTTCTTTCTTTCTTTCTTTCTTTCTTCATATTTCGACCAGAGCCTTTCCTTTCCTTCTTTGTATTTCTTTCTTTATCATTTCCATCTCAATCTCTACAAATCACCCCAAAACATTCATTCCTTTTCCCTCGTCTTTTTTTCTTGGTCCGATCAACTTCCCACCTCTTTTTGTATCTTCTCTAACCCTGACGTTTATCCCCAAAGTGATTCTCATCATTCAACTGCGCATTTATCAACACTTTCTACAACAGATGAGATCTTCTTAGAGACGAACGTTCATCTATTTTGAATTCATAATAGTAAAATACCACCATCATTCCACCGGTCCTGGGTTTCACCCAACCACAATCCTGTTCTGGTTGACGGAACCAGTGACCCACCCTTGTCATCTCCCTAATCTGTTATCAGTCCATCTATTGTAAGTCAGAGACAATCGTTTATTATAATGTCTTGGGTGTGGCAGTGGCAGGGGGTAACATTTACATTTGTTTGACACAAGGAAACTTTCCTGAATTGCATTTTTCGATTATAATTGTTAGGACGAAGTATACCTCAGTATTAATGGGTTTCGGGGCATTTTTTTTTTCTCTTTTAATAAATATATGTGGATAAAGAAAAAGGGGTGAATTGGATAGAAGCGATGCAATTCAAGATTTTTAAATGTTTTTTTTTTATGAAACAAGGTGAGGAATATTGAACAATAGAAACAATCACATGATTCTGAGTCTGTCCATTTTCAAAAAATCCTATAAAGTTATCTATCTATCTATCTATCTATCTATCTATCTATCTATCTATCTATCTATCTATGCCAGTCTTTTCATTATCTATCTATCTATCTATCTATCTATCTATCTATCTATCTATCTATGCCAGTCTTTTCATTATCTATCTATCTATCTAGCTAGCTAGTTTAAATTTTTAAAAAGTGAAAAAAACCCAATGAGAACCATTCGATAAATAATTGCCCGATTCCGTTATTAAACTGATCACTAGGAATTCGCGTTTTCCCTGTTTTTCCACGTAATACTCTCAGAAAATCCTTTACAAAGTATTTCGTCAGTCAAATCACTTAAATCCATTGTTATATTTAAAACGTTTACAATACATTTTTATATTTCTTTATTAAATTTGTTTATAACATTTCACTCTATAAAAATCACAAGCATCACCTTCGTAAATATATTTTGATTGGATTCCAATAGATAATTATTTTACCGTTTATGTACTTTTAATGTTAAAATCGATTATAATGCAGATATTAATAATAATATATAAGATGTAACGCCATATTAATAATACATTTCTATAGTCAAATGATTTGTTAGGCATTTCTATATTAAATTTAATTACAATGTATTGCTACAGTTAAATCATTATCTATGTAATATCTATAATAAAATGTGTTACAATATATTCCTAGTGTAAAAAAAAACTCCTTGCTATGTATTTTTATATTAAAATTAATTGAAAGTGTGTTTAAAGTATAATAATTTAATAACCATATTTTGTCAACAATTTTTCTTAATTGCTGTGTCTTTCCGGGAGGGAGATGATCATAGTCCATCCTAGATTCCTTTTTTTATCTATGAATTTCTATGACTTTTTGGAAAAGATAGTGTTGTAGTTTCCCATAGTCTTCTGTACAGTTTTGAATTCAAAGTAATGCTTCTCCTAGCGGCTATTAGCTAAGACTAGAATTCCAGTGTACTCTACTACTTTACCCCCAAAAGACGGGTGGAGACGCTAACCAAATGACCCAAATGAGTGTCGGAATTTGAAATCTGCTTTGTCTCGATAACCTTTAAGTTACCTGTGATATTTTATTAATAATGCTGGCTTTAATTTCTTACTTCTAAAATCCCTTTCTTGATTTTCAATTCACAGCACACGAAAGGGATGCTGAAAAGGACAAGAAAATTTCCCCGAAATGCTGACATTTAGTCATTTGATGAGATTTTGAGAAATTCTGCGACTAACGGAATTTTCAGCACCTCCTCTTGATATGTTGAATGTCAAAATTTGTTAAGAAAATATCGGTAAAAAATAAAAATATAGGTAAAAATATAACCGTATTAATTGTTTCATTTCCTGTACTTACCACGAGAGTTTGCGATCAACATTAATGTTAGAGTGAATGAAAGTTTTACATTATTTAATAAAACCTACTCTTAGTGTAACACGCCTTACATTAGCGAAGCATTAAACCATTGACAAAGCTAATTGATCAAATCAATCAAAAGTATGAAATGCATTTGCAATGAAATGCATTTGCATGAATCAAAGAATATAATAATTATCAATAAATATTTATTTATACATTTTCTGTCCCATTTGTAGTTGGAAGAGAGGTAAATGAATTTAATTTAGTAAATTTATGAGTGATTACTTACCTTGGTCGTTTTAATAATATATCCAAATAAAATATTTATCTGCATATACATAACATTACTACCCGATCAAAATGAACCGTTTAATAAATCAGTTCCTTCACGCCTATGTTTCTTAAATTGCAGTCATATTTTTGTAGACTTTCAAGTGAGGCACTCAGATACCTTTTGTCTGTTAAGGGATCGTATTGTATCAATTTGGTCTTGAAATAAGCGTTGTCGTCACCGTCTTTTTCGCTTTGTTGCTATTTTTTCTTCCGAGATATTTTTCCATTTCACTGTTATATTAAACACATACAATTTTTGACATGAAAAGATATTAAGCAAAAAGCGATCAGGATAATACCAGGAGTAATCAGTGAATCCTAGATACTATTGAACGTCTAAAAGATATAAAGACGACTGATTAATTAAACAGTTCATTGGCTTCTATTTTAGTTGTGAATTCTTTATCTTTGTTTTATTGATTCTCAATACATTGTTTCAAGACTTCTATCATTGCATCTCACTATTAAACCTTTCTAATTGCTTTCATTTGTGACGGCACGGGAACATTCGTATATATATATATATATATATATATATATGATGCGTCTGTGGGTGTGTAAAATAATGCACGGTTTCTATTCATTTGTCTCTTTAATAACATTTTTTACATTTTAACGTCTGTGTATACAAATCATCTCTCTTCAAGAAGGTTAGTAGAAGATAATTAATTTTATTATTTCCTTCCTTAGGACCTTATATAGTAGTCTGTCTCAGTTTATTGTAATATATTCAAGTGGAGCTTAAAAATAGCTTTTGATCTTAATGTGTTCAAAAGAACACGTAAGTTTTTTTATCTGGGCAAATGAAAGCAAAGTACGTATTCATGTCACATGATTTATGTATACGTATGATTACGTAGCCTTAAACAGAAAAAAAAAAGAAGCAGTTAGCCTCAGTGGTCAGGGAAAACAGGAGCAATGAGAGGAGAAATTCTATTCGCGTTCAGACGCCGTTGTATGCGGACAGACGAAATATATCCCTTGTTTGAATAGCATAAAAAAAGAAACTTTTCACTTTGCCTCGAACCAACATTTCAAATTTGATTGGAATTCGCAGGCAAAATGGCAGAAGGCAAAGGTATAAACCTTCTTCATTCTTTATAACAAAAAGGCAGATAACTCTAGCCGACAATTATTGAAATCTTTTATTAAAATATTGTCATAAAATCTTTTACAATTTATCATGTCAGCTGATTCCGTAAATCCAAACACGGAAGCACATCATGAAAAAAAAAAACGGTGGTTGTTCTCGTCCGGCTGTTCATACCGAAGGATGTCTCGTTTACTTCTAATTTGTATTGTTGAGTTATTCAATGAAATAACGGGAGAGGGAGTTGTTGCTCCCCCCCCCCGGATTTCACTGAGTCTAAGACACTGTCAAACCTAGGAGTTAGAATCACAAATACTACGTCACATTACTACGGTCAGTGCAAACAATTCCTTAACTAGCTTAAGAGAAGAAACTTATCCTTACGTATATTAGTAAGGGTTATTTTCTTTTCCGTCATCTTGATGGAAAATGCGTCCGATACCTACGTAGCGTACGTGTTATCGGCGCAGAAAAAGGAAGTCCCTAGATTCGAGTTCAAATTCTAACCCAGTCTATTGCATTTACTTTCACACTAATGCTCCTGGGAATGCCATAAATCCACCATTTCCCAGCTTCCAGATATGGTTCAAATAGTAAGGCAGATAGGGTTCTATTACATGGTTGGCAGTCAGTCTACAGAAAAGATTACTCTGAATTCAAAACTGTGGAGAATTCATCGGGAAACTATATCACGGCCAATTCGTAGATAATGAAGGAAAACAATCTATCAAGAGTCATGATCGTCTCGGCCCTGAAGGGTGAGAGAACACAATATACAGTCCGTCTGAAGCTATTTTGAAAATCACATAAATCTCAATAACTTGAATTTGCTTTGAACAATTTTTGTCAAATTTTAAACGATTAATTTAGACATCAAAACAAAGCTTGAGTTAAATTTTTAGACAGTTTCAACAAGTTTTATTAAAGTTATTGCATTTCTTGTAAAAACCTCATATGTAATGGTAATAGTTAAGAAATGCTGAAAAACAGAAAATAACGAAGTTATTTAGTTATGAAATGTCCATACTGGAGATATCAGGGAAGCTTTGCGGAGATCATCGAATGATAATGAGGGTTTCTTGAAAACATAACTACGTTGAGAAGTAAAAGCAAAAGAAAAGGAGACTTTCTGAATTTGTCTACGCGAGAGGAACACAAACTAAATCGAGTTATAGCGAAACAACCACTTTTGACCAATGCTCAAAATAGTTAAAAATAGTTAAACAGCAGAGATGACTGTTCTTTCTTGGAATGAGAACAAGGAGAAGGAAAAATATGAATTCAAAAATCAGCCAGGGATGGTCTCAGGTGATCTTGCCTTAGACGCACCACTGCTGCCATCGTTGCAGTACACGTGGTGCTCCTACGGCCTTAATGACTTACGGGACTCGTAGCCTGACGTGACGAAATACTAATCAAAATGAATAATAATCGCTGATTAGGTACAGTTTACATTAACAATTTAGGCAAAGGTATTGAATCACTTTTCCCTTTACCTTGTCTCATAGCTGTATATCTTTAAAAAAGATCTTGACACAGACATGTCACAATTGAGAGTGGGTGGGTACGATTTAGGGTACACCACTTCCGCATAACTAAGTTTATTTACTAAGGCTAAATTCAAATCTAAATCCAGGGCCTTTCTCACTCCTGTTGAATGGACCACACCCTGATTGACCATGACTTCAGAGGTTTAAACATACTCACCACTCTTGGCCAGTTGCGGGTTAGTGAGGCCAGAGCAGCAAAACTGCGTCTGATGGTAGCACAATAATCTGAATGACAGTCTCATTAAATGGTGACATTGAAATTGAGATGAAAAGAAAACTTTGAGAATGAACGACTTACAAAAAATGCCTACATCGTAATCAACCACTAGACCAACAGTTTATCGCCTCCTTATATATATATATATATATATATATATATATATATATATATATATATGTGTGTGTGTGTGTGTGTGTGTGTGTGTATGTAATGTGTCGGAAATATACTCATGAAAGTTTCATGAACTTCCGAAGTAAAATCATACCCCCTTTTGTCTGTACACATACATACGTATATACAAAATGTGCGTGCGTACGAATAAATATATGCATTATAGACAGATGCACTAGTTTATTCAAACGCACACATGTATATATTCTGGGCACGTTTGCAGTATACTCATGAAAAATTCAAGAATTTCTGACTCAAACCTTTATCCGTATGTACATAGATGCACGCATAGATAACTGTGGCTCTTATGAAGACATACCCACACGCACATCCGCACAAATACACACACAGACACACACACATATATATATATATATATATATATATATGGGAATATTAAAATATGCGGCAAATCAATTGCCGACAAGTAGCGTTTTGGGTGGG